CTTTAAATTGATTGTGAAAGCTAAATGCATAAAATAATATTTTCAAGGCTATATCCTTCAAGTGTCATTTTTTTTCTATTTTTTAAACCTATTAATACAAACATGTAAATAAAAAGATTGCAACAGAATTCAATGGAAAGTTTGGCCTTTTCTCCATTACTGCTACGTTGTTACAAAAAGCACAAAAATTAAAGATTTGGAACATAACGAATTGCTTGCTCATTCAGCTATGAATAACTACCTTATCTAAACTTTATTCTACTAAATGGTTAAAATAAAATTGTCTTCTATATTCCTTGAAAAAGTGATTAAATTGTAGGACCATCACCATGATAATAAAGAATTTTCTGATTTTTCTAATGTGATCTCATTTCTTTTTATCTTATTGAATTTGGTAAGTACTTTTATATTAAATATTCCTCTGCTTTAACAAGCACTTTTTAAATGTTTAAGGACTTTACAAAGCCTTTCTCCATGCTAATCATTCTGTCCTTGAATTAAAGCTATTTCCTTAAAATCAAGCTATTGATTTCTTTCAGTTCCATTTCTATCACATATTAACTGTTAATGAATCTTAACATATTTGATAATACATACAAACAGCTTTAGTACAATGCCTGATATATAAAGAGCTCTATCAAAAATGACTTTCCTCTCGTCCTTCTTCCCTACTTCTTTGTTAGGATAAACACCACATTCAATAATATACTTGACCAGAACAGTCTTCTCCTGAGAAAGCAAAGGCATGGGATTGCATGTAGACATCACAGGTAACTCCCTCAACCCTCTGATTCACTTTGGGGAACAGTAGTAGTGATAAAAGTTTACTCAGGCAACTTGAAGAGGTAATCCTTCCCAGGACTGCAAATCTTCTTTCCAGGAAATGTGTTGCACTGCCAAAAGGTTCACATATTTAAAAGAGTCTGCCTTTTATTACAAATTTGTATGAAGTCACGCACCTGTAAACTTCCACATTCTTAACAGTCTCTCTGCACATGACCAAAATGCAAAAAAAAAAAAAGGATCAATCAATGCACCAGCAATGCTACTGCAATTATTAGAGTGAAAATTTACCTTTTAAGAAAACCTCAAGGAAGAGAAAACACAGGTCTATGCTTAATCCCTTCCCCACATACCTGCTGCACTGTAGAAGACGCCATTGTTAATTAACCTCCTTACTGAAGGAACTTCATTTCCTTGTTTCTTTCCAACTATTGTGAATGCTTATATGGAACTAGAAAAACCTGAACTATGTTAATTGTGCTGTTCAATAACTTAACAATTAGCCTCAAGGGAATTGACCTGAAAAGTTAAAAAAAAAAAAAGTAAAAAGAAACCCTGCCTTTCAAAAGTTTAACAGCTTAATGAGCCTGCAGCACTTCATCTTCTCAGGAGTCTCTGCTTACCTGAATTTTCATCAGCTGCAACACTGAAGGCTCTAAGTCTGCTGTTATATAC